GCCGCCGGCGTGGTTTTGTGCTTGCGTGTCGTTCCGGCTATTCTGGACGATGGCGGCGTCGGCGGCTCGTGTCGCCCACTGCGTAACAGGGTTCATTTAGCCTGTGACACGCCGGCGTTAATGACAACTGTGCATTCCCGACGTCTGCCCTTTCACTGGCATCAAGAGTGACGTCGACGCGTTCTCATTCCTTTGCCGTGTTGAGGTGACGGGCCTTGCCGGCCACCGTTTAAAGCTACGATGGGTCACATTATAACCCTGCTTGATTCACCCTTGTCAACTATTTTCGCACATTGATCAGTCAAAGTCATGTCAAAAAAAATTGTGTGGCCAATGTCATCAATTCATCAAAAAAAAATTTTTTTATGCGTACTGCTGACACCTAAAGGAATAAAGTTGACACCGTCTGAACTGGATTTGTTCATCTCAGCAAATGAATCAAGCACATTTCTTCGTTGTTAGCATTAGCATCCACAGAAGGCCAACGTTTTGTCACCGACACCTACGGGACTAAAGCGGAACAGCAACAGTCAGTATGCACAGCGATCGACTCATCTTATGCCCGTGGGTCAAAGTGACCCGCGACATCTAAGCTGCGATTTAAGCATTGGCATTTTTGCAAATTTTTTTTTTGTCGTTTGTGTTGACTCGTGCCTTTTGTTTTTGTGATGGGTGTCGTGCATGTGTTTGAACCTGCGCGCGGTGTCTTTTGTCTGCAACTTGATCTCTGCCCCGCGCTTTCCCCCAGACAGTCTGCTCGTAATGGCCGATGATGTCATGGCCTGAATCACAAACAGTGACACATGCTCGGCTTTAATAACAAGCCCCACCGCCACACACACACACACAACCTGCAACCTGAGCCTAGCGTGCGCCCCCCCCCCCCGACCCCACCTAAAAAAACCCAGCCCACCGAATAATCAATCGAATTAGAAATGTTAAGCCTGTGTCAACACGGTCCAGTTGCTATTGTACATCCCAGCTTTGGTATTCCTTAACCACCGTTTTCAACAAATATCGCAGTAAAAGTAAAATAAAGGCAAACTACTCAGCCGGTGACAAACATCAAAGGGACAGTTTAGGGCTGTCACGATCGAATATTTTTAGAATTTATTATTACATCAAATACCGGGCTAAAGTTTTATTTTGTGTTAGAGTGCAAGTTGCTGATTTCATTAGATAATCAATACGTTGTAGTCAATTAATTTTGACATATCTTTTGTGGTTTTTTTAAAAATATTTTTCTGCATATATTTTATTTATTGTATTTTTCAATGTGCATTTTGCGGCATTTGCTCTCATCCTGCCGCTGTTTGGTGGGTGTGTGGGAGGCGGCGGCGGCGGCGGCGGCAGTTTTGGTTGACACGTGTTGCGCGCGGGCCTCGGTGAAGCGGGCCAACAATTGGGTGAAAAAAGGAGCGCAAGGAGGGGGAACCCCCGTGGTTGTGCGCCGCCATGACTCACCACTCTCGGCGCCCTCTGGAATTTGGTCAGGAGCGCGCGTGCAACCCGCCAGGCTTGATCTCATAGCCTACTTTTGCTTTTAAATGTGCTGCTCTCGCCAGTCTTGTGAGCGTGCATCCACTGACGCACAGAAACAGCGGACGCGCCAACTTGTGGCGTTTGGTTTTCCACTTTATCGGCTCAAGACCCCCCCCCCAGATAGAAGATAGAAGATCGAATCATTTGGCATATCTTTTTTTTCTTTTTGTTGTCGTTGCCTGTCGGCCGCGCCAACTCGATCCTCAGAGGGGACTTTCTGAGCGCCGCAGCATCTCCAGTCCAGTCAGAGCCCAGGAATGCTCGGCGCCGATGACGTTGGCCTTTTTAAGTCTTAGCGCTCGCATTCCTTCCAGCGGGGCCTGGCTTTTGCCTTCCCGGTTGCCCCACTTTGCTCCTCTCCACTAACTCGTCGTTTGGCGTCCACCTGCCCGACATCTTTTCTCGCCCCCGAGGATCTCAATTGACTGCATTCCTGCCCGAGGGCTCGGCCCCCCGTCGACGGCGTCTGCAGGCCGTGCCCTTCCTTTGTGGCTCCGTGTTGATGTTGACATTCATGGCACTACTTTTTAAATGCAGCTTGATTCTAACCTACTTTTACTGTATGTACTTGGATAATAATCTTTCTACAAAGAGTGGCAGCCTGATTTACAAGTGGAATTAGCTATGTGACCAAGCTTCAGATTTTTATGTATCAAAAGTATTGGTGGTATTGGTGGCTACTCACTCGAGTGGAATGTTCGTACTGGTGTCAGTCTGAAAAAAAGTGACATCAAAATATCCCTACTGTACAGTAAACCCGTTCCCGCTTTTTTTGCAGATTTTTTTATGTTTTATTTTTGGGGGTCTGACTCTCCTGTATTTTGGGTGAACTGTAATTCCACTCTCAGACGCTAGATGGCGGCACACTTAAGATGAGAGATTTGACATTGAAAACAAATGAGTTGATTTTAAAAGAACGAAACCTCAAGCGCTGGGCTTCACCGCGGCCCAGTTTTTAGTTTGACGGAAAATAATTAAGTTACAGGCTTGCAGCCTTCGTCAATACACTTTTTATTCGAACACAAAAATCCAAATTGCCAAGACGTAGAGAAAATGCGGCCCATCTTGTGTCTGTACCTACATGTGCCTTTAAGAGGCGTCGCCCCATCTGCTGGCGTGTGAGTGTCTGGGTAAGAGCTGTGGCCAACAGCATGTTTTGTGTTTGCTTTATGTTTCAACAATAAATAGCTGAAAAGTGCCTTGGCAACCCCCCCATAGATCATTCCATTGATTACTCAGGTAATATCAGCCCTATTTCAACAATAAATAGCTGAAAAGTGCCTTGGCACCCCCCATTGATCATTCCATTGATTACTCAGGTAATATCAGCCCTGGCTGATAATGGGTCAATCGCTAGGTAACATATTAGCTTATGTATAAAGATGTGTTGTGCTGTAGCTGGGCGCTAATTCCCCATCTTCGCATGCGTTCAGGTGCAGAAGCAGGTCCACCCCAACCTCCAGGCCAAGGAGGACGCCTTGCAGCACATTGAGGAGCTGATCCTGCAGCTGCTCAACATGCTGTGCGTGGCGCAGCCTCGCTCCGTGCAGGACGTGGAGGTAAAACTCTCGCCGCCGCACGCCGCCATCTTTGTCATGCGTCAAGGTCACGGTCCCTTTCCCTTTGGGCGTCACCAGGAGCGAGTTCAGAAGACCTTTCCCCACCCGATAGACAAGTGGGCCATCGCCGACGCGCAGTCGGCCATCGAGAAGCGGAAGAGGAGGAATCCCTTGCTTCTCCCCGTGGACAAGATCCATCCGCTGCTTAAGGTTCGGGAAACGCCGCTTCGTTTCATGGAATGCGCTGAAGTCGCCCGCTGACTCCTCAGTCCCCCCCACCCCCGCGCGCAGGAGGTCCTGGGCTACAGAGTGGACTACCACGTGTCGCTCTACATCGTGGCTGTTGTCGAGTACATCTCGGCGGACATTTTGAAGTTGGCAGGCAACTACGTGGGCAACATTCGGCACTATGAGATCAGCCAGCAGGACATCAAAGTGTCCATGTGTGCTGACAAGGTGAACCTTTTCAATCATTTTTACGAGAGCCAAATTGATTTAGGTTTTTTTTTTTTCTCCCCCTCCCCTCCCAAGTTCAATGTGTGTGTGAACTCACATCGCCCAGCCCTACCAGAAGCTGACTATAAGAGACCCGACGTGCTTTGTCGTTGCAGGTGCTTATGGACATGTTCGACCAGGAGGACGACATCGGCCTGATGTCGCAGTGCACGGACGAGCCGTCCACGTCCGGCGAGCTCACGTACGACGACCTGGTGCGGCTGGAGATCGCCGAGGAGCGCCAGTATCTGCGCGAGCTGGACCTCATCATCAAAGTGTTCCGTCACCACTTCCTGTCCAACTCCAAAATCTTTACGCCACGGGTAAGCGAGTCACATGGGCCACCGGCACCGCGCCAGACAACGCGGAGCACTTTCACTTCGGCTTACCGACGGTAAACGTGACAAGCTTGGCGTAATTACAAACGCGTTTGTGCCAAATCCCGCGTAAGCGCATTGAAGGATTACACACTGCGCAGTAAATGAAACCCAAACAAGACTTCTCCGCCCGTCTCTTACTATTTATTGTGAAGGCAAATGGAAAGCTGGCCCCTCCGCTGCGCCTTTTTGCATAGTTGCTCTTTTTTGGGTAATTTGTGGCATGGCTCGGGTGAGGAGGCGCTCGCGGAATGCGCAGCATGTTATTATGTTGAGACAAGAACGGCATCTGCGAGGAAGGCCTCGCCAAAATAACGCCAATTATGTCTGCCTGCTGCCGCTTCTGCTCGTCTCGGCGTTGTTTTTAGCAGAGTCTCGACCCCTTGCTTTGACAAAATACTAATGAAGATTTTTTTTTTTTTTTTTAACCAGAAGACAGAAGCAATAATGGATGATGACGCATTTGAATGAGGAAAAAGTAAAAATGTAACACGAATAGTCTCGTCATTTTCTGAGAAATGACATCAATTGTTATTGGATGAAAAATCTGATTATTGGCATAGATTTTCATATTGTTTGCATTTTTAAAGCGGTGTTTTTGTTTGCTGTCATATTCCGCCATTGTTCATGGAAAACGCAATTTAGTATTCATCAGTTGTTGTTTTTTTTTTTAATAACTTTTCGAAAGAAAAAAAAGATATATTCTGCCCCCAGTTAAAAAAAAATAATAATTAAAGTAAAGTAAATCACAATTTTGGGTCTGACCGTTTTTTTGATTCCCATTTTGCCGCTCAGGATGTGGAGGTGATCTTCAGCAACATCCTGGACATCCACGAGCTGACGGTGAAGCTGCTCGGCCTCATCGAGGACGCCGTGGAGATGACGGCCGACGGCAGCCCTCACCCTCTGGTGGGCAGTTGCTTCGAGGACCTGGCCGAGGTGCGCTCGTTTTTCACGCCCCTCCGTCGGAATCGACGTCTGTATGTTGTCGTCACACGGCTTTCCGCCGCTTTGCGCAGGAGCAAGCGTTTGACCCCTACGAGACTCTCTCTCAGGACATCCTCAGCAAAGACTTCCACGAGCACTTCAACAACCTGATGGCCCGATCCACCGCGGGCCTCTACTTCCAGGTACCGCCGGTGAACGTCTCCGCTCTTCCTTTCAGTCTGGTCGAACCGCTCGCTGCATGTTTCTCCAAAATAAACCCGTTTATGAAGCACTTTCTGAAAAAGACAATTAAAAAAATGCCATTTGCGCAAGAGGTCAACGTCAGGTCACTCCGTCTATTTGTTCCTGTGGTGCTTTGAAGCCGGGCCGGACCGGACCGGGCCGTCTGGTGGAATTCCTCCCCGCGTGGGTTTCGCGACCTGTGTACAGTTTATTCACCGCCGCCGCATTGTTTGATTTGAACATTCCTCGCAAGAATAGCGCTCAATCGTGCTCGGAGGCTGCAGCCGGATCCCACGAGGCTTGACGCCAAAGTAACGTCCACGTTTTATGCAGTCGCAGCGCCCGGACGGAACACCCGTTTTGTTACAAAGTAACAAAATGTGCACAGTCGGCACCAGCAGGGCCAATATGATTCAATTAAATCAATAATCACGGACAACCAAGGGGGGGTGCCGTGCAGACTGCTGCGTAGCCTCCGTCCCCCCCTAAGCGTATTGATTGTCCAGCGTTCCCATCAGGGGAAGGGGAGATTTAAATGGGGTCGCTTCTTCTCCGGTTACTCCCGCTCCTCCCTTCCCCACTTTGGCCTGTGTCAGTCTTTCGAAACCTGTGAAATACAAACATGTGCATCATGATGAATGATTCAGTATCAATTGCACCTGCACATGAATGAAATGGAAATGAAGCGTGCGCAAGCAGGACAAGTCCAAACACGTGTCGGGTGTCTGGCGTTCAAGCTTCTTTTGAAGTTGTGAATATCAGGATAAGAGTCAACATGTTTGTGTTTGCGGGAGGAAGATTTTTTTGGGGGTGCGGGTGAGGGGGGCTTCAAAATAATGCTAGACAAATCCATATTCTCGGCTCTTGAACACTGTGGGCGTCTCCCCTGAATGGCCCTGTGCAAGCCGCCTCATGATGTTAAATTGTTTTGTTTTGTTTTTTTTTGTCGCCGTTAATGTTTGCAGTCTGTAGCAGAAGGCTTCAAAGAGGCCGTTCAGTACGTCCTTCCACAGCTGATGATGGTGCCTGTGTACCACTGCATGCACTATTTTGAGCTCCTGCAGGTACGCCCCTTTGTGATACTCTTGGCAATATGCAACTTTAGCGCACGGAGCAAGAAGTGTGATGTTGTTTTGTTTTTTTTTTTGCATCCACTGTGCAGCAACTTCAGGAGCGCAGTGAAGACCAGGATGACAGGGAGTGTCTGAAGCAGGCCATCACGGCGCTACTCAATCTCCAGTGCAGTGTGGAGCGCATCTATGCCAAGCAGCAGCCGCGGCGAAAACCCGGGTACGTGCTACACAAAGTTACACGCAAGGAAAAACAATGTCAGATTTCTTGTCCATAAACGTACCGAGCCGTCAAGTGTGAACCAGATGTGTGACTTTATCGTGCCAAGACACAAAGTTACACGCAAGAAAAACATTGTCAGATTTCTTGTCCATAAACGTACCGAACCGTCAAGTGTGAACCAGATGTGTGACTTTATCGTGTCAATTTTTCATGTTTCACGAGACAATATGTAAATAATAATAAATATATATATTTGTGGACCGCACTATAGACACAATATAAATACTTTTTTTTTTTTCCTTTCAAAAATGCATAGCCTTTGCGATTTTAAAATTGCATTCTAGTACGCCGCAGTTGTCGATTTGAATTTGATTCATTGTTCAGCTCTCGATGTGTACCACGGCTGAATTTTTATTTATTTTTTCAAGTTTGGTCAATCTCTACTTTCCACATTATACGGTGAGAAACATGTCGGGCTGCAACTAATGAATGAGAGATAAACTTCACCCCCTGGGCCCGTTATTGCACAATTTCCTTGTAGTTAAAGGTGAAAATGCCGATTGACACTTTCCGTAGATGGAAATGGCTTCTTTTGAATGTCTTTGTGACTTGTGTCCGTTCCCCGCAGCGAGCCCATGTACCGCCTGTACAGCCGGCAGATTCGTAGCAAGCACCTCGCCATGCGCCGAGTACCGCCTGAAGGAGAAATTTGTGCTCCGCAAGGTGCGCATCGTGGACCGCGAGGACTCGCCGGAGCTGCGGCACGCCTTCGAGCTGATGGGCAAGGACGAGAACTGCGCCGTGTTCTGCGCGCGCACCGCCGAGGAGAAGGCGGCTTGGATGGCGGCGCTGGTGACGCTGCAGTACCGCTCCACGCTGGACCGCATGCTGGACACGGTGCTTCAGCACGAGGAGCGAGCGCACCCGCTCCGGCTGCCCTCGCCTGAGCTTTACCGCTTCGCCGTACAGGACTCGGAGGAGAACATCGTGTTTGAGGACAAGGTGCAGAGCAAAACGGGCATCCCCATCATCAAGGCGGGCACTGTGGTCAAACTCATCGAGAGGCTCACTTACCACATGTATGCTGGTAAGACAAGCCCGCGCGCCTCGAAACGTAACCCCTGTGCCTGTACATGGAGCAAATATCATATATACAACATTAAACAATCAAATAAAAAATTAAGAACAAAGACAATAGAAAGCACAAAAAAAGAACAGTAAAACTAAGATCAAGTCTGAGTCATGCTGAGTCAAATGCCAAAGAATACAAATGAGTTTTGAGACGAGTTTTAAAGATGGGCAGTGAGGCGGCTTGCTAAACATTCAATGAGAGGTCGTTCCACAGAGGGACCAGCAGCGGAAAAGACGCGATCCTCTCAGAGCCGCCGTTTAGTTCTTGGTACCTCTATTAGTGTCAGGTCCGCAGACCTGAGGCAGGTGTGTAAGATTTGAAAACAAAAAATAGGATCTTAAAAAGAAGTCTAAAATGTAGAGGGAGCCAGTGAAGGGATGCCACAGGAGGAGTGATGTGCTCCCTCTTACGAGTACCAGTCAAGAGGCGGGCAGCAGCATTCTGGACCAACTGGAGACGCTTCATGGAGGATTGGCTGACTCCGAAGTAAAATGCATCCCAGTAATCCAGCCGGGATGTGACGAAGGCATGAATGACTGTTTCAAAGTGCTTATGAGAAAGGAGAGATTTTACTTTAGCCAGTTGCCTAAGATGAAAGAAGCTCGATGTTCATATTCCGTGCAACAATATTTATTGTTATATCATTCGGATGAAATAGTGTGTTTTAGCTTATTTACATCTTTGTTTTTTCCTCATCTCAACTCTTTGTTTCTCTTAGATCCAAACTTTGTGCGCACTTTTTTGACCACGTACCGATCCTTCTGCAAGCCTCAGGAGCTTCTGACACTCCTGATTGACAGGTACTCACTCTCATCTCTTTAGCACATGGCAAAATTATTCTAATTATCATTAATTACTGTGCTCGATGTTGTTCCGCGGCGATCATCGTGTCTGTTTAGAATCGAAATCCCAGAGCCGGAGCCCACGGAGGAGGACCGGCAGGCCCTGTGGAACGGCGACCAGCCTATGGCGGCTGAGCTGCAGAGGTTCCGCAAGGAATATGTGCAGCCGGTCCAGCTCAGGTGAGATAGTTGGACAAGTGGTGAAAGAAAGAAGTTGCAGATTTACAGTAAAACATCATCCGCATGCATTTCGAATAATTCCGACAGTTTGGAGAAGGAAATTGGGTCCTGCCTTTTTAAAAAATGACCACATTGACGATTTTAGTTAATACACTTTAGCCCGTGGAATAAAAATTGATGCCGTCCGAAGAAGCTTCTTTGGAATTGTTTTTGATTCTTCTTCTGTTGTTGAACTGGCCTACCCTAAAAACCACTTTTGTGTCTTAACTTTTTTGGTTTTCCCTTATAAGGAGCGACAGAGTCAAGAACGGGGCCGCTCAAGGCCACATGAGCCTCGGACGCGCTGGCCCCACGGCTGTGCCATACAACAAAACGCACCAACTGCTCTGTCTTTGCCACGCAGGGTTCTCAATGTTTTCCGGCAGTGGGTGGAGCATCATTTCTACGACTTTGAAAACGACCCTGAGCTGAGGACTCGCTTGGAGGAATACATCACGAGCAAAATCCAACTGCGAGGTCAGGATCCCTGCTTTGAAGGAGACGTCATAAGACAGTTCCTTGATGTGATTTGTTTTTTTTAATCTTTTTTTTTTTTTTTTTTTTTTTATTCCTTTCGAAAATGTTACATTTTTATGAAGGTTTCGGGTTGTTTGGGCGGGGGGGGAAAAGTTTGGGG